GTGCCATGAGAAAGCACAGTGCATCACTTTATGTGTTCACTCCTTTCTCGGTAATTCAGTACTCTCTCAAGTCTCAGTTTCCACAAATCAGGATTGATTTCTACCAGCTTAATATGATCCTTCTCTGGCAATTGAGATTTTTCAATTATCTATGCCGGTGGTAGTCACATATGTGAAATGTTTACCATAAATTAATAATCACTTTATATAATGCATCCTATAGAGCTGTCCAAAAACAAAAATGCCAATACCTCAACAAAAACAAACAAAAACACCATTTTGACATTGAAAAACAACTCAAATGTACATAATAAAGGCTTAGGGGTATTTGGTACCTACCGTGTTTTAGACACTGTGCTAACCACTTGGACGGCAATGATGAATAAGATGAGGTCCCTGCTCTGAGATACTATCAGGCTAGTAGGAAGAGATGGAAAAGTAAACATGTAACTTCCATATAATAATTGCTTTAATAGAGAACGCAAATAGAAAATTGTAGGACAGACAAAGACACTGAAATAGAGAACAGGGGGACAGCCACCAGAGGGGAGAGGGAGGGAATTTCAGGGGGAAAAGGGGAAGGATTTACAGGAACAAGTATAAAGGACACATGGGCAACAACTAACAAGGGTGGAAATTGGAGGGAGGTGAGGAGCATGGGGGGATTGGGATGGGAGTAAAAGACAGAAAACTGTACTCGAAAAATAATTAAATAAAATTTTAAATTTAAAAAAATAAATAAATAAAAAGAAAATTGTAGGCAGCTATTAATGCTGCCTGAAGCCATTGGCTAAGGCTCCCTATTTCATCTTAAAGACACAGACAGAGCTTGGGAAGCATCTTTGGCACAGAGGGAAAGATGGACTTGGCTTTAGAGGAGCTGGAGGTCTTCTGGGGGAGACAGATCAGTAGACAAATAGCATAAGACAATAAGTCAAGGACTTAAGTGTAAATATGCACAAAATGCTATGGGAACACCAAAGGCAGAACAATTAATTTTGTACAAGTTGTGGGAATATGGTGAGGACTGTGGTCAGTGAAGACTTGTACATTAGAACTCCATATAAAAGGAGAAATCAAGATTTGCCAGGCAGAGAAGAGAAGAAAAATGAATATTCCAGGGGAAAGAAGCACCTTGATCCTACTCTCAAGGCACAGATGAGGGACAGTCTGGTGTGCATGAAGGCACAGGAGGGTGGGAGACCAGAAAGTAATTAGAAAACTAGATTTGGATATATTCTGAAGAAGATCACATGCCATCTGATGGAGTGTGGACTAGAGTATATCCTGTAGGCAGCTGGAAATTGAAGGAAGTCCTTACTCCTGTTAGTGCAAGTAGAAATATGACTGAGGAAAAGCCTGGATGCAACTTCCCAGGTGTGAGGTAATGAGCTATGATCTAGACTGAAGCAATGGAAGGAAGAATGAAGGTGCAGAAGAAAGGCTTCTTAGGAGGCAGAACTGAGAAGTTAGGAAGTAAGGTAGGAGGGTTGAGATTCACTCAGATGCTGGAAGGAAAATCAGGTCCTGATTGAGCTAGGGAGAATGAGAACGGAATTTGTGTCAACAAGCCACAGAGGGAGGGCGCCATGTCAATCCTTCAGGTGTGCTCAGTTTTGAGATGCCTCAAGGAGAATTCCTATGAGCAGTTGGACATGCAGATCTATTGCTGTAGAAGCAGTCAGCCCAATGTGAGATTCTCTGGGAGTGGAGAAAAAGTGAGAGGGAAAAGGAGAGAAGGATGTAAAAGAAACCCTAGAGAACCTCAACCTCAAAGGAATGGGCAGAGGAATAGAAGATGAAAGAAAAGGCAGAATACTTAGAAGTACATACAAGGGGGGTGGGACCAGGGAAGGGAGGTGGGCATGGCTGGGGTGTGGGGTAAGCAAGGAGACAACTGTACTTGAACAACAATTTTTTTTCTTTTTTAATATATTATATTGACTATGCTATTACAGTTGTCCCATTTCCCCCCTTCACTCCCCTCCACCCTGCACACCCTCTCCCACTACATTACCCCTCCTTTAGTTCATGTCCATGTGTCATAAGTTCTTTAGCTTCTACATTTCTCATACTATTCTTACCCTCCCTCTGTCTATTTTCTACCTACCATCTATGCTACTTATTCTCTGTACCTTTTCCCCTTCTCTCCTCCTCCTCCCACTCCCCTGTTGCTAACCCTCCATGTGATCTGCATTTCTGTGGTTCTGTTCCTGTTGTAGTTGTTTGCTTAGCTTGTTTTGTTATTGTTTTAGGTGTGGTTGTTAATAATTGTGAGTTTGCTGTCATTTTACTATACCTGCTTTATCTTCTTTTTCTTAGATAAATTCCTTTAACATTTCATATAATAAGGGCTTGGTGAGGATGAACTCCTTTAACTTGACCTTATCTGGGAAGTACTTTATCTGCCCTTCCATTCTAAATGAAAGTTTTGCTGGGTAGAGCAATCTTGGATATAGGTCCTTGCCTTTCATGACTTGGAATACTTCTTTCCAGCCCCTTCTTGCCGGTAAGGTCTCTTTTGAGAAGTCAGCTGACAGTCTGATGGGAATTCCTTTATAGGTAACTGTCTCCTTATCTCTTGCTGCTTCTAGGATTCATTCCTTCATTTTAATCTTGGGTAATGTAATTTTGATGTGCCTGGGTGTGTTCCTTCTTGGGCCCAACTTCTTTGGGACTCTCTGAGCTTCCTGGATTTCCTGGAAGTCTATTTCCTTCGCCACATTGGGGAAGTTCTCTTTTATTATTTGTTCAAATAAGTGTCCCACTTGTCGCTCTTCCTCTTCTCTTTCTGGTACCCCTATAATTCAGATGTTGGAATATTTAAAGATGTCCTAGAGATTACTAAGCCTCTCCTCATTTTTCTGAATTCTTGTTTCTTCGTTCTTTTCTGGTTGGATGTTTCTTTCTTCCTTCTGGTCCACTCCATTGATTTGAGTCCCACTTTCCTTCCCATCACTGTTGGTTCCCTGTGCATTTTCCTTCATTTTACTTAGCATAGTCTTCATTTTTTCATCTAATTTGAGACCAAATTCAACTGATTTTGTGAGCATCCTGATCACCAGTGTTTTGAACTGTGCATCTGATAGGTTGGCTATCTCTTTGTCACTTAAGTATATATATTTTTGGAGCTTTGATCTGTTCTTTCATTTGGGCCATTTTTTGTTTGTTTGTTTGTTTTGACCTGCTTGTTATGTAGTGAGGGGAGGAGCCTTAGATGTTCTATCAGGTGAGACAACCCATGTCACTGCGTTGTGACGCTGTATGTGGGGGCAGGGTTGGAGAGGGAACAATGGCTCTTGCTCCGCTCTTTGCCTGATTTCAGTCCCTTCTGCCCTAGTTTGCTTGGGTTCTCCCAAGCAAACTAGGCCCTTCTGGTTCTGGTTCCGTGTGGGTGGGTTTGTGTATGTTCTAGGACCCGGTGGGTCTCTCCAATGAACTCTCCTGTGAGGCTGGGAGTCTCTCCAGGCACCTCAACCCCCACAGGTGTTTCAGTCGGTGTTTTGAGGCTTTATTTCCCAGCACTGGAACCTGGGGTTGCGAGGTCTGTCTCTCTCCCCAGTTTCACCTGGTTTATCTGTGCACAAATGTGGGACCATGAGGTTCCGCAAGCCACCTTGGGTGCCAAGCCCCGCCACAATCCCCCGCCTTGCTGGGTCTGCCAGCTGCTGCTTTGCGCGCCTGGGGTCCACCAGCCACCCTTTATTTTTTGGCCACAACCTCTTTCTGCCCAGCCGCCTGACTGCCCCTCCTACCAGCCTGGATGAATGTGTCTACTTTAACTCCTTGGTTGTTGGATTTCCATATAGTCCAATTTTCTGTCAGTACTGGTTGTTATTTTGTTTCTAAATTTTTGTTGTCCTTATTTTGATTGTGCAAGGAGGCACAGTGTGTCTACCTAACAATAATTTTTTTTAAAAAAACAAGTATATATGAGGGGGACCAAGAGAAGCAAGTGAGACTGAACTCAGCAGGGAAAACGCTCTCCTACTGGGGAGACTGATTGTTAGTGGCAAATGGAGATGACAGGCAAGTAGGAGGACTGAGCAGTGTCCATTGATTGGTGACTGCATGTTCTTACCTGCCTTGGTGAGAGCAGCGAGGTGGGGACAGAAATGAGGTGGCAGTGGATTACAAAGAGAATAGGAGCTAATGAACAGAATAACTCCTGTCATCTTCTTTCTCAAGAACTTAGTGATGAAGAAAGGTGAAATGTAAGGCATTAGCCCAGAAAAAAAGGAAGTTGAGCTAAAGAAGGAGTGGTTGTTTTTGTCACTGTGTTTTATTTCTTTAACATCTGGTGGAGTCTTGAGTACATGTGTACCCAGAAGAGAAGGATGGGTGAAAAATAGACAGACATATCAGGGGAGACACTGAGGAAGCCAGATCTTCGGGGCACAAGGTGAAGCCTGAGTCTTAGAAAGGGGTAGAAATTCTTTTGCTGGGATAAAAGAGAAGAAGGAAAGAATAGGTTGAAGGCTAGAGGAGTCTGAGGACAGTAAGGGAAGTGAACTTGGTGAGTTTCTGCCTGACGACCTCTATTTCCTTGACAAAGCATTTGGCTAGGAAATCTCTGAAAGTGTAGTGAGACTGAATATGCTGAGAAAGAATGTTGTTAATAAATATCAGTGTCTTGTTTACTCTCTTAAAAACATTGCTTTACTTTCTCTAGTGAGATCATTGAAGTCTTATCTCAAGAAGCATGGTTAAATATGACTGTAGAAAATTCAGACTATAAACTTGTAGATACAGAAGAGGCCACTTTATAGCAAGACTAATATCAGGCTTACATAGCTTTGCCTGGGGCTCCACAGATGCTTTTGGTAACTCTTCCTGAAGCAACATTGGAGTAAATTCTGGATTTGGGGTCATTCTGTAGGATTCAGAATTTATTTGAAGTAAAATATTCTGGTACTTCATATTCTTAAAAAAAAAAAAAAAGGCCAAAGAAACAACAACAAAAAAGCTGGAGCTTTCCTTAGAGTGGGAAACATGTTAACCCTAGGAGAGAATCCACGTGTCTCTCCAGCCTTTTCGGAAACTCGGACCACTGATTATCAGGTCTGGTGTGCGCTGCATGGTTGCCCTGGACAAATAGGCCAGGGACACAGACATAAAAGAGAGACATCAGATTAGACAAACTATTGCTTAGAAGGAATTAATACAGCCATGTGGTATGCTAACCATCAGCTCATAGACCCTCTGCTCTGGTGGCACTAGTCTCCTGAGGCTGCTTAATCTCATTGAGACAAGACAGCCAGCCTAATTGATACAGAAAATGAAAGCCCTTTGATCTCATCACACAGACTCAGAGGAGGATCCAGCAGACAGCACGACAGTCTTCCAAAGGAGAATTAACACTGCAGGAAGGAAAGTAGTAACGTTTTACTTTGGAGTTCCATGAACTTGGTATACTTAATATAAGGATTGAAGAGTAATAAATTCATCCCAATGCATGAATGGAGTTTGTTTGCTCTTAGTGATAAAGCACAAACAGTACTGTCGCTATGAAATCTTTCGAATTGTCAGGCAAGTATTTATTATTACAGGGATAATAAATGTAAGCATAATAAATATAAGAATGCCTGCCTTTCAGCGTGTAACTGTAAAGGACAGGTGTTTGTCAATGTCAACCTTTCATGCTACAGTAGACTACCCCTACTAAAGAATTTTCTTGGAAGAAATTTATTGTGTTGTCATTTAAATAGCATTTCCTATGCTTTTTAAATAAGGTAGCTATTCATACAAGAAACTGACTTTGCAATAATCAGAATATCTACAAATGTACTAGTGGCATTGTAAATCAGACTATTATTCAAATGTCAGAAAATATAAAAATTTGTTTTCTCTATTGTAATGCCAAAGCACACATTTCAATAATTTTATCAGTTACATTTTTTACATATGTGATATGACGGTAGTTTCAAAAACTAACCAGGGCTATGATTATATAAGTAGGATTAAATAAATTATGGTGTTAATGAGAAAAATAGGAATAACACCTTGTCTTCATTTTAGATACAGAGAATTACTTTGAAAAATAACATGCTCTTAGTTTAGTGTTTTTACCCATTGGATCTCATGCGTAATGTCTGTAGAAAGCCTAAGGTATCTGATATTTGGGGAAGTGTATCCCCCCACTATCTGACATTTTTAAAACTAGGACACTATAAAGAAAAACAACAAAAAAAGGAATTGAGGCATAACACTAAATGACATCTTTTTCTTTTTGAAAACAGTATCCATAATGATGACTAATCAAATAAAAAACAATAAATTAACATTTATTTGAATGAATCTAGAAAAATGTAATTGTCTGATTATGTATAGTATATCCTCAAAATAAATTCTAGTTCTCTTGGAACTTTTTCCCAGTAATCTACAAGCCCAGACTTTAAATCTGTGGACTATTCAACTGTCAACTTCTTTTTATCCTCCTCATTTAAAATCGACACCAGTTTTCTGTTCCACTATCTTAAAGACACCACAGGTGCTGTTTACGAACCTCCTGTGAGACCCACTTCCACCTCTCTAGATGAATACAACACCTGGCTTATAATTTTCTTCCACAACCTCATCACTTCTGACAATTTCAAAATTCGTGCTAGGGACCCATCAGTTACCTCAACTGTAGAATCCCATGATCTTGTTACTGCAGCCGTCCAACTGCACCCTGCTTGAGCCATGCACCAGCGAGATTGCTTCCTGAATTTAAACATCACAGGCAATCAGAGTGTGTTTTTATTACATAATCCCAATGTCTACCCACCCCTCCCCTTCCCATGCCCTTCCCTACTTTGCTAACCAAGTTCAATAAACACTAAATCCTTCATAGTTTAATCTATTCATGAACTTTTCTCAGCCATTATTGCCCTCTCCAACACCAAGGCTCCCATCATGTTCTTACGATCCATCATGCCAGTGGGCAAACATACACATTGCCCAGTGTTTCTGGAGAAGACTTGAGACTGCTCTGGCTCACATGAACACACTCAGGCTCACCTCCACTGTGCTGGGAAAGCCAACGACATTCATTGCTGGGAATATTTTCCCCAACAGCTCTACACACGTAATTGCCACCTGTGTGCCTCCAATCTCTTGAATATCTCCCATATCATTCACAGCAAGACTTCCTGAAACGATAGCATATAATTGGTCTCATAATCCCTCCACTTAACTTTCCTCAATTTCTGTCACCTTCAAAGGCACTTTTACCGCCATTTATGACTTTCAATTCTGTATTTTTAATTTTGAGATCTCTCCACATTAAGAACTTTTCATGATATGCCCCCATACGTAGTGCCAAGCTGGTAGGCACTCAACAGGTATTTATAGAATGAATGAGAAAATGAATGAATCAGCGTGTGTATGTCCTACTTCTAGTTCCACTCTCAATAAATAATGTTACTGGAGAAGAAAGGACAGGATCCTCAGAGAGGGGGACTGCTTTTGGCTCCTTCCACTCCAGCTGTTGACACTACCTTCAACTCTAGTGTTTGGGTGTTTCATTGATGTTTCAGCCAAGGCTTTAACTATTTATTTATTTTTGGTGGTAATTGGAACATGGATAATTGGGCTCACATATAGTTACTCCAAAAGAAATAAAACAACTTGATTGCACACACAATGTTTTAAAGGGCAATCGTTAAACGTAAAAAAATACACAGTATACATAAAGTGTCATACTTATAAAATCAAAGGGACACGACATCCCTCCGAACCACCTTGATGATGATCATTCTCTTCACTACACTCGAGTTCGTACAGCCTAGAGACTACTGTGCTTTTTAGTGTTCTTCAAATGCCTAGGATCTTCATGATAGTGTAGAGAACAGTCACCCACCATGTCATTCTGTACGCTTTCCCACATGCTGTTTCTATTATGCGTACTATTTTGCATTTCTTACAACCTTGTTTAAAATGTGTTTATAAATTGTAAATTCTGTTTTTCTGTTTTCTTCATCTATGATTTTTTTTCTGTCTAATCGGGATGGATTCCAGAAAACTCAGAAACAATATCTAACAAGATCTGAGCAAAGGAAAGAGAGGAATGGCAAATAAACATTTTCCAGTGTCGAGTTAGGGGGATATTCGATCTTTCAATGTGTTCAACAAATGGGTTTAATAATGCACATTTTGGTATAAAACAGTTCAGAACAGAAATATTTGCTACTCAGCCCATTTACCCTGGGAATTACACAACATGGACCATTTTCAATAACTCTTTTCATTATAATGATTTCCTCCTGCTCAAGCAAAAGAGATGTAGAAACCATTTTGGTCTAGAAATGTAATATGTCAAGATACAGATGTATTAAAGAAATATTAAAATACAATAATTTTAATCACTTTGGTTCAGTGTTAAACTGTCTTTTTGAAGTACTTTAGCCTTCTTAAGTCTTCCCAACCAAAATATAAAGTTGACTTTTATTCAGAATTCATATAAGTAGATAATCTGGAAAAGCATATTTATTTTAAAACCATGGTAAAGTAATGGTAGACAAAAAAAACCCCAAAAAATGAAGATCTATTTTTAGGAGACAAGTTGGTTTCTCCAATGTTTTTAACTTAAAGATCTTGAAGTGCCTTTTGTTTTTCCATAAAATATGCAATTTTTATTTGTCAATCACAATTCAGGGAAAGCTACTCCACTATCTTGACTGGAACTCATAAAAATAACATTATTTTAAATTTAATTTTGACTTATTTAATTTTATGTTTTAATGTCAATCCATGTAGATCATATAAATAGTAACTTTTACTTACTAAAACCATTCAATCATGTAAAATCTTTTCAAACATTCTGAGTGGATGGAAGTAGAAGTGATCCATTTAATAATTATTCATTTACTTAGCAAACTGGTATTGAATGTGTATGGTGTGTATGATACAACAGTTAAGAACTAGTTCCCTGAGGAGTTTTAAAAGTAATAGAATTAAGACATATTTCCATATCACTATAATTTATAGTAATAATTGCCACAGAAGATATACTATAAAAATTCATAGGACTATAGAGATTTGTGGTAGCTTTTTTTAACCAGTGTGACACTTTAGTGCTTAGAATTTTACATTTCACAAAGCTCCCAGAATGACAATTGCATAAAGCACTGCGCTTATTCATGGTTTTATTTTTTTAGTCATTGTGTACTCAGAGTATTTTTTACCATATTTATCCAATTCTTTCTTTCTTTTTTTTAACCCTCACCCAAGGATATGTTTATTATTTTAGGGAGTCAGGAAGGGAGAAAGGTGGGAGAGAAACAGAGAAATATCCATGTGAAAGAAACATTGACTGGTTACCTCCCATTGTGCCCTGACTGGGGATCAAATCCTCAACCTAGGCGTATGTCCTGATCAGGGATTGAACCTGCAGCCTTTCTGGTGTATGGGACTATGCTCCCACCAGCCAGGGCACATTTATCTAATTCTTGGAAAACAAAAATTCAGGGAATGTTTCTTTACTGATCACGCATTGTAAGGCACTAAGGTGGACCCTAGTCATGTGCACTAAAAATGACTACCACAGGAAGGGTCCCTTCACTCAAGGAGTTCCTACTCTAATAAGAGAAAGAGAAAAAATGTTTCTGGTGAACATTTCTTCCATTCCTTCCTATCATACTGGAACTGAACTTTATTAGGCACCAAAGCAACCACATTGTTTCAAGTCAGTGTTTTCTAAAGTGCTGGATGCTGCTGGTATAACTCACAGAAGGGATAAGAGTGCTGAGATGGCATTTCTGATCCACTCGAGCAGTGGACAATCTTTGATGAAGGGCCTCTGATCTCTAAAGCAGAGACTGCTTGAAGGAGCAAAATTCTGTCCAGGAAGTGACAGTTCTGAAGGATTTGCTTCAGGGGACTCTTCCTGGTGCCATGACAGGTCCTTTTCCTCCAGAAATCTTACTCTGTGAATGACAGCAGGAAGAAAAAGCAGAACACAGAGGAGGACAGAGAGAGAGCTAACACAGAACAGACTGTCTAGTGTATGAGAGAGGAAATACAGAAGAAAGTGAGGAAAGGCAGAATTTGGGAGAAGGAGAAAAGGAAGTAAGTGGGGCGGGAGGAGAAAAGAAGAAGACTTAGCATATAACACGAGCAACAAGGACTCCAAGGGTGTGGCGGTTACACCAATTGGACACAGTGCTGTGCAGTAAATCCTGGGCCAGGTGCCCAGGAACAAGGACAGTAAAACTCTAAGAAGTGACAGCTGTTTTATCAGGAGGAATATTAATAATAATCATAGCTAACATGTTCTTTCCATGTGCCAATCCTGCGCTTTATATGGATTAACTATTAAATCTTCAGGACAACCTTAGAGGCAAAGAGTCTCAGCCCAGACAGAGAAACTAAAACTCACAGAAGTTTAGTAACATACCCAAGAACACAAGCTAACATGTGGCAGGGCCTGGATTTTAACCACTGTGATCTGGCTCCAGAGCCTCTCCTCTCAAGCTCTAGGCTACCCCTCCCTGCCTATCACCAGACACGCAAAGAACCTAGAGAAATAAGATAGGAGGAAAGAAATGGGATGGATTACAACATGAATCTGGCCACCTCTGACTTCCAAACTGCTTCCCACTCTTTCTGTGACAAGAGACAAAGAGTTTGAAACAAAACTCACATCTGTTTTACACACACTCAAGTGTAAGAGATAATTTCGATTAATTGAATATACTGACTTATAGTGTTAGTCATTTTAGAGACTTTATGGTATCTAAATCTTAGTCACCATAAAGTTCCACTTGGATACCATAAAGTACCATTTAGATACCATTTAGATACTTTCTGGTGTGTAAATCAGGCTGTCCTTGAGTAATATTTTGTGAGCAATCTCAGCTGAAGTCCCCAAGCACAACATTGGTTGGATGTAATATACCTAAATTCAGGAGGATTGCACAAAGGTACATATGTTACAGATGGTTACTCGTAGTTAACAAACTGTAACCTAGCCAAAGACTGGCTAGTGGTAAGCCTGGGAGGTGATAGGCTGAGAGCTCACTTATTCCTTCATTCCACAAACACTTATTCAGTGCCCAGATGTGCTAAGCAATTATTTTAGTGATACAAGAGAATATCAATCAAAGGTCCTGGTCTTCCATAAATTACATTTGGGCGGTGGGATGGAAACCGACACTAAACAAATAAACAGTAAACCTATAATGTGTCAGATGGTGATAAGTGCTAAGGTTGAAAAATAAAGAAGTGAGATGGACGGACAGGAGTGGATGCATTGTGTAGATCAGGGGTGTCAAACTCGTTTTCACTGGGGGCCACATCAGCCTTGTGGTCGCCTTCAAAGGGACTGTATAAATGTAACTACTCTTTAACTAGGGACTCAGCACTGCCGATAGCTAGAAAAAAAGGTGCTGAGCCAGATAAAATAAGGTAGAGGGCCAAATTCAGCCTGCGGGCCTTGTGTTTGCCACCTGTGGTGTAGGGTGATTAGAGAACATCGTTCTAAAGACTTGAGTGGGATCTGAAGGAAGCGAGGAAGAGGGCAAGCAGATGGGTGGGCGAGAAGCACTTTAGCTACAGCAAGTGCAACGACTCAGAGGTGTGAATGTGCTTGGTCACTTTGAGGAACAGCAAGGCCAGTGTGGCTGCAGCGGAGGAAGCAAGGAGAGTGGAGGAGAATCCATGGTCAAGTAGGGCAAGATTAGGTAAGGCCTTGTGAACCATGCAAGTGTTCTGGATTTTACTCTGTAGGAAATGGGATGATGACATTGGAGAGTCTTGACTCTGGAAAGCTGTGACATGATCTAACTTCAATTTTAAAAGGATCACTTTGCTAAGTGGAGAAGAGCAAGGATAGATGCAGGGAGATAAAGTAAAAGGCTGTTGCAACAGAGCAGGTAACAGGTGAAGGTGTCTCCGCTAGGAGGAGAGGTGTGACTGCAGGGCCGGCAGGACCTGTTGATGGAGTGCACACAGGGTGTGACAAGAGACGGGAGGCAAACTCAGTTGCTAGATTTTGGACTAAAGAACCAGAAGAATGTGGTGTTTGTTTGTTTGTTTGTTTGTTTTTACTAAGATGGAGAAATGTGTGTGAGAAGCAGGTTTGAAAAGAAAATAACGAATTCAGTTTTTTATGTGTTAAATTTGAGATGCCTATTAGACTTCTATGCAGAAATACCATGTAGATAGTCATATATATATATATATATATATATATATATATATCTGGAATTAAAAAGGGGTATCCAGATGAGGATATACATTTTTGAGTATCAGTGTGCAAATTATATTTAAAGCCTTGGTACTACATGAGGTTACTCAGAGTGTAAAAGTGATGAGAGGGGAAATCAGGCCTAAGGACTGTTCCTAGGAAGAGTTATGGTGTTTATGTTGAAACCCAAATCCCCCGTGTAATGGTATTTGGAAATGGAAGCCCGAAGGAGGTAATTAGATAATGAAGGTGGAGCCCTCATGGAGAGATTAGTGCCCTCTGCCACCTGAGGATACCACCAGGCTGTCTATAGCCCAGGAGGAGGGTCTTCACCAAGAACTTGACCATGAGGGGATCCTAATCTTGGACTTCCCAGACTCTAGAACTGTGAGAAATGATTGCTGGTTAAGTCACCCAGTCTATGATATTTTTGTTATAGCAGCCAGAACTGACTGACACCTCAGGTTTGTGGTTCGGTTTCAGACAACGAATACTGCAAGGATGATGGAACTCCATTTTTGCTTGCATACCACAGGGAAGGTATGATATCTTGTATGGGGTAAATGAGAACAATTCAACTGCTGATTGTTCAGTCTTGGAAGGCACCTCTAGATGTGAAGCAGGACCAAGAGAAAAAGCTGGCAATGCAAGCCAAAAAAAAATCAAATCAAGAAGTGGCAAAAAATATGTGTCATGACAGTTAAGAGAGATCATTTCAAGCAAAGACTGAAAATAGCATTGGAAGCGCAGAGCTTCACTAAGATAAAAATGCAGTTGATGACATCAGTGATGATGTTGGAAAGAACAATTTCATGGAAGCAGCGAAAGGAGCAAACATGGAGGCCTGAATAGTGAAGTGAACGCTCACATCTGGAATGTCAGTCACAGACGCCCATCAGGAAGGCAAAAGCCCATACATAGTTTGCAGGGCTCTGTTCAAAATGAAAATGTGGGTGCCTTGTTCAACAGTTATCAAGATGGCTACAGCAAAACATTTCACCAAGCACAGGGCCCATCTGTGCAACCCATGAAACTTGCCCTGCAGGCACAAAAGAAGAAAAATAGAATGTCATTTTAAAACAGCCATAGCTTCTGCCAGGACGATGGATCTGAACTATTTTAGGGAGAATCAAGCAAAAGAGAAGAGTTCTTCACTCCATGTGACCATTTGGCTTGCCATCTCAAATTCAGAAGTGGAACTCCTAAACCTTCACCAAGCCATCTTCTTTTGCCACCTTTCTTTGATCCATTGTGAACTACATTGTTGTTGTTGTTTTGATACCTCGCACCCCAAACTTGCTTACAAAGTCGGTCCTATGCCCCAGTTTCATTGTCTCTAATATGGAGGTAATCAGAAGGTTTTAATAAATTAATATATATAAAGTGCTTGGAGCTATCAAGGCACACACACACTATATGTTAGTGTATACATACACTATGTATATATGTATAGACACACACATATATATGTTAGCTCTTCTCTTTATTCTGTTTATCGTGTTATTTACCAAATACTATTAAATGTTTCCTTTTAATTCTTTCTTGTAGCTATTCTTTTCCTTCCCATTCCTAGACCATCACCCGGGGTCTTTTCACCACTTACAGGAGCCTATACATTGGCCTTTCATACTCCAGTCTCTTGGGCTTGCTGCCTCCAAAGTCATCTTCCTTGCACACCACTCTGTTCTGTCACTGCTCCAACAGCCATCTACTCTGCTCAGAAATCTTAAATTGGTTTTGTGTTTTGTCTAATAATCACATTTAAACTTTCCTGCCTGGATTTCATGGCTCTTCCCAACCAAGCACTAGCCCAGGTTGATCAGATCAACTCGGCCTCAGGAGCTTTCTTGCTGAGGGAGGCCACGCTGCTGCAGCCTGACGTTGGAGACTGGGGGCATTGGAAGAACTAAAACAGAGACCCTTCCCTGCTCTGCCGAAGGGTTCATCCATTCAGCAGGCAACATGGAATCCAGGATGGGGAGGAAACAGGTGAGCAAGATGTGGCCTGGGAGGGTGCCAGGTCACTGCTCAGGTGGAAAATCACGTGACGGTTCCTATGCTTCTTACATCACATCTCTCATTCGAGCAACAATTCTTGTTCACTGACTGGATGGAAACTTAAAGATGAAGAAATAAAAGCCGCAGCAACTCCACTTCAAAGGAGCCCAGCATTGTTCTGGGATGTCAGTAGGAAAGAATGGAGGACACATGCCCAAAACTATGTGGTCCAAGTTTCTGATGGCTCATGGGTAGGGGTGAGAAAGCTGTAAGGAAAATAGCCAACAAGGGGGCATTTGAGTATCAAAGGATAAGAAGCTGAGGAACTGTACAAATATTCCTGGTAAGTTGAAAAACAAAAAGAAAAAAGAAGGTAGGGGCGGAGGGTTTCCCCTTGAGCATTTCTAGGGAAAGAACATGGGTCAGGAAGTACAATGTCTCCACTCCTAAGGACAAGCAAACTTCTGCTAAACCAAGAAAACAGGTGCAGGGTAGGGAAGAGACTGATACAATGACAAACAGCATGACACTCAGGACTTCAAGCAAGAGAAGTGGGAGGTAGCTGGTGACTGTGGAAGGGTGATCGATGGGGCAGTTCTTTTGGGAAGGCAGCAGCGTAACCTGGAGCTTTAAAGACAGATGTCAATAATTAAGCGTACGATTTAAGGGTCAGAATGGGGTGGCCCTAGGGCCACACCAAAGCAGTAGAGAAAGGAAGAACAGAGCCACTAAGAGGGAAGAGAGTGAAAGACAGTGAGGAACAGGCTAAGGAGACAGAGCATCTGTGGGATAAGATCTGGACAGGACAGAGAGGGCTCAGCTGAGACAACCCGCCCTCCCATCCATTCCTCATATACCCAGAAACAGCTGTGGCTTTGCCAAGGCCCAAGATCATTTTACGTGTCCTCTGTTCCAGGGTCAGTGGTCCTCCTGCAGTGGTGGATATATTGTATCCAGTTAAAAAGACGAACATGTCAGTCAAAGGGTTAGCTGTCCCTAAAAAAAGAAAGAATAGAAAATGTGATTTCACAAAGGGGATATTGATCATGTACTAATATTTATCAAGTGTCTGCTAAGTGCAAAATGCACAGTAGGAGCTTACTTCTGATACCAACCTATTACGGCAGATAATAGTCTTTACTGTATGGGTGAGGGAAACTGGGGATCTGAAAGTTTAAGAGCCTAGTCCAAGGTCACATGGTGAGACCAGGGTTATCGTCCAGAACTATCTGGTTCCACCTGCCTAACTGTCCTTTCTCTACACATCTAGGAAGGACCTTAAAACCATGCACTTGGGCCAACACAGCAGAAAATAGAAATATAGAGGCATCAGCCTGTTGCTCTACACACATTTGAATAACGGCTCTGGCTCAGCAACTTTTGGGATTTCAAATATTGCTGGAGTCCCTCAGATTCACCGCCTACTGCCCTTGACCCTCCACTTCCCACTGCCTCCCAGAAGGCTGGCTGCCACCGGGGTTCTCAATGCTTTACGGTCATGCCCCATCTCCCAAAGTTGTGCTTCATATCTTTGAAGAGTTTCTGTGGCCTCCCAAACTTTCTATTCTTGAGTATTCTGGTTCTGTGTGTACTATTATAATTTATTTATCCCCTTTTATTAATGAGAGTTGATTAATTTAATTCATCATGGTTTCAGCCCAAAAGTTAAAATCTGGCTCCACTTTCCCCATTTCTAATGAAAACACTAATGAATTTTCCCAGTATTTTTCTGGAAGTCATTTCTGTTGTCTTGGAAACCCAGAGGGTTAAGTTAGAGAGACCCCCCTCCCCAATAATAATTCACATTTGAAATCCAGACCCTTCTCTGGGTTGCTGACATCAGAACCCCACCCTGTGGCCCCTCTCATTTAGGGGATTTTAAAAACAGCTGTGCAGGAATGGTGTCGGGCACAGAATGCTGGGCTGGGCTGGTTTTCAAGACGCAGCAGCTCCACAAAACATCCAGTCTAATCATCTCTTTTACTGTCAAGGACCTTGAGGCCCAGGGGCTTAAGTGTGTTGCCCAAGGTCACACAGGTAGTTTGTGGCCCACTTCAGGTTAAATTACAGGTCTTCTGACACACACACCAGCCACTCCCATTATACCTGCTTATCTTGCAAAGGTAAAACTCTTCATTGCCTTTCTTTCCACTGTTGTCATAACACCTTTCTCAATGACTAGCAAACCCATTTAATAGGCATAGACACTGAAGGTCACGTAGGCGCATTGTTCCCAGTGAACAATGAGCATTACTGAGAGAAGAACTAGGAACCAAACATAAGTCTCCAGCTTAGAAGTCAAGGATGCTGTCTTTTAGGATATATTCACATAGATATTAAAGATTGTGACAAGTAAAATGATCAGTCTTTCCAGGTTGTGGTCTGTATAGAATCTAATTTACCTCAGAGTTTAGCATTTGCTCTTTTTAAAGAAAAATCATTTAACTGATATTTTCCGTTGTAGGGAATGGAAAAAATTATCTAAACATTTTTTTTCAGGTACAATTTGAGAATTTGTCTTTCTGACAAATTCCAAACTTCATCTGAACCCGTTTTCTTCTCAACAAAAATACTTTAATGACTAATATCTGCAACCCAAGAGAAAACATAAATCCATGCAAAGTAGCAGGATGATCTGGGTGTTTTGTTTTGTTTTGTTTTGTTTCCTGTGTAAGCGAAGAATATCATCATTGTCAACTTGTCAAATGTTATTCTAGTTATGTCATTCTGTTCCAGTCTGTTGGGTGCCTGTTTGACTCAGTCGCACTCATGGACAGAGGAGAACCACTGATGCATTGATTGACCATCTACTAGGGCCAGATGGCACAGTCAGGTGCTGGACCATTGCCAAAGGGAACGAGGTGTGATAGACACTCTTGGAAGCTCAGCGTAGTAGAGACCAGAGCATCAATGTTAGGACAGTAGAAAGCAGATGTCCTCAAGGAATTAGAGCAAAGAGGGATGTCATTCAGCTGAGGGAATCTCCTAGGTTTTAAGGAGGAGCTGGGCCTTGAAAGGATGATAGAATCTAGGGAATTGGCTGGAAGAAAAGGAACTGCAGGTAGAGAGACAGCACATTTCTGAGATCCTGACCTCAGGACACTGATCTGTAAACTTTGCCAGGATTATATTTAAAAAATTATTCTACTCTATTCCCCTTAAGGAAATTGAAAAATATAGTCCCAAAGAAGACAGACTAAAAGATAAAAAGCCAATTTTCCCATTGAGAAACATTTATTGGACATAAAATATTTGCCAGTTACTGTGTTAGGTATTGGGTTTAAGAAGTTATGAGTAACTCTGAACAAATTTAGAGTAGAGTTTAAAAGTTGGACTCTCTCTTCGATTTGTGGTAAAATGTTTGATCCACAGAGCTATGTTATTATACACATTTTTCTGGGCATTCAAAGAATTCCATTGTATGTATTTTCAGGAAAAAGCCATTATGAGACAACATAAAATAGTTATATGTATGTGGACACATCATGACATAATCTCATTCTGTAAAACCGATTTTATTGCACAATGGAATAGACACAGAACACTATGTATTCTGAGAGAGTCAGGTTGCCTGGATATGCCATACCTAGATCCTGGGAACATCTCTTGGCCCCAGGATCTCAAATGTGCTTTCTTCACTTGTACCTGCCGTCAGGCCATTCACAGAATTTTGTCCCAGGTGACTTTCTTTGCCCTTCCTCCTTCCCAGACCCACTTTATCATACGTAATCTCTCCCCAGTATATTGTACCTTTACTGCTTTGTCTACACGGTCTATCTAAAACATGTCCACACCTTGTAGCTCAACTAAAAGCAGCTACAGCAACACAATTGTTAGGCCATCTGTGCAACTGAGATGCAAGTATTTATTAATTTAAAAAAGAAATGTTAGAAGTCAGTGAAAATTACAGGACACTATAACCGGAGAGAAAATGTAGGTATTTTCATGTGATTATCACCAACTTTTATGAGTGTATTCCCTTAGTTCTTTTTCTGATTACTCAGAATTCTAATATAGTTGATGAAAGGATCTTTAAAACACGTTTCAAACATGTCACAACAATATGCCAAGAACATACAGGTACACACACACACACACAAAGGAAAAAGAAGATATGAGTGTCTATCAACAGGGAAAAAGCAGGAAAGGCGAAGACAGTTGTACAAATATGGACACGGTACCGACGTGTCACCCAAGGATAATTATAGAGCAATAGAACCCATGAAAATGGAATGTTCCATTAGATAATGTCTGTTTTTTCTCCTTAAATTTATAAGCTACTACACCATATATATATATATATATATATATATATATATATATATTACTTTTCCCTCACAGCAAATACCAACTGGTCAAATGCAATGCATTAGATCACATGCAAAAAAACAAAAATAAAAAGCCAGGTCATTTCCAAGTGGATGGGAAGTAGTTTATTGAGAAGATTGAATTTTTAAAAATCACTTAAAGTTCATAACTTTACAATTGAAAAAGTTAGTAGTACAAATGATTTTCCCCTAGGATATCTAGCAAATTTTCAATATTGTATTTCAAGAAAAAACCCCAAACACCTTAAAACTGTCTGGGTGGGAAGAGAGAATGCATTAAAATGCACTGCATTTTATTACACTATTTCTGTTAAAATTATAGTGTTTTATGGTAATTACTCAACAAATATAACATTTACATATACATATAAATCAAGTTAAAAATAAGTGTAACTGATTTCAGTTATTAAACCAGAAGAGATTTTTTAATCTAATCAATAAATAAGAAAGATTTACAGATAAAAAGTATACATTTACATAGACCTCCAATTAAAATTATTGTTCAGTAGATTATAGCAAAACCTCATTTCTGAGGTTCTGGAAAATGTGTTTTGTAATTTCAAATACCAAATATAATTCAGAGATCATTTAGAATTAGCTATATATTATATAATTAATGATTTTAAATAAATTACTCATTTCTTAAACAAAGTTATAAATGATAGACCAGAATTTAAATTTTTATTTTTATTTTAGGGAAAATAAAAATTTACAGATATTTTATATGAAATATTCACACATGGAACATATCACTTCTATGACACTAAAAAAAATTCAGTGTGAGCTCCAATATCATTTTGGGGACAGATTCATGAGTTCTAATTTTTAAAAACTTATAAAATGATTTGCCACTTCAGACTATATGATATGCATTGTGAAAATATTGCTGCAAATAAATTCTTGTGAACCATGCTTTCATTTATTGAAGATTCCTAAACAAGAGTCAGAACTTGGTTCACAGTTTATAAATTTTGTACAAATTTTGTTATGATAACCTGTTACCCACAGAGGAAGTTATCCATAAACAAAAACAATCTGGCATTTGCTAATTTTATGAAATCCATTGTAAAACTTCCTGGTCTGAAGCTTTAAGCAGCCAGATGTTAATGTGAACCATAACCAGGGAAAGTGAACAATGTAAGTTAACCTATCAGAGAAAGCAGATGACATAAAGAGAGTTAACACTCAGTGCTAACACATGTAATTAAATAAATTTCATTGTTTGTTACTTGACCAAGTAGTCTACAACCTAAATTATGGAATTTCTAATCCACCTATCGTTGTTGTCAAATTCAGTAATTAAAAATGCAATACAGTGTAGAAAAGACATTTTTCTGTTCATTTTAGAGACATTTACAGCTTAATATTTTTAAAACAAATTATTTACTTAAATAAACTCTTACATTCATTTGCTGGTTCCTATGATTATCTTTTAACAATTATTTCTGAATTATATAAACATGTTGATTACCAGCAAATAAATCATCTTTTTAAAAGCACTGATAAGTGGGAACAATGATCAAAATGGAGGATTCCCATTTGTGTTTCTGGTTTAAAGTCTAGTGATTTGTGGTGATCTAATATTTTATATAAATATAAAACTCAACAATTTTCTTTGTTAAGTTTAGAAGGTATATTAGATTATAGTTATTTTTACAAATACAAATTTTTGTTCAGAAATTGGATTTTATTTTAGGAGATATATTTCTAAATACAAAGTGTATTTTATAAATTATCTTAAGTATAAAGAAACACAACTATTCACTTTATTATTTTAGAAAATTATTATAATGCATTGCAAAATATTTGCTAATAGAAATGCAACAGTTTTTATTTCCCTAACAGGTTACTTCACACTGTAGTATAGAATAAATTTTATAAAGGTAAAATTTGATCTAGTGTGAAATTAGCAATATGATTTAATTTAAAAAGTCAAAAGATTTATAGAGGTTGTATTTCTAATTCAAATAGAATTTTGCTAGGTTTTTAGTTTTTCCACAGAGCATTGAAATAAGTAATTCTTTAAGCTTTTCTTTAAGATGTTTTAAAAGTTTCAAGTATTCTTCAGATACAAATTTTGGACAACACCGAATTCTTTCCAAAAAAAAAGTTATTTTAATTTTTGTTTTACTCCATGGTAGAAAGTACTGAAGACTTTTTTTCCCCTCCAAAATCTCATTTTTCACCTGAAATAATTATATTCGGGTTTTGTCAGCAGGTAAAGTATACATTCTTACACGGTTTCAAATTTCAGAATTCCAATAATGCATTTAAACTGAGCACCCACTGAATCACGCTCTGTGTGTGTGTGTGTGTGTGTGTGTACACACGCGCGCGAGCGCGCGTGCGCGTGTGCCTGGTATCTTGCGGTTCTGTTATTTACATTGAATTTTAGTTTCTTTTAGCTCCTCAGAAATACCCTAGTGAACCCTCAGCATTTGCTAACCACTTAATGACTGTGAACCGGCCAGTCCCTTCAAGTAGATCGTTAACCACAAGAGTGCCTGACAATTTCCAAATCATAACCTCGGTCCAAAAGGAAAAGATAGGGCTTTGTGAGGCAGAAAGGAAGCGAAGGAAAACAAAACAAATGTAGCTCATGCTGAAAGTGAAAAGTGCTTGGACAGATTGGTATTTTCTTTTCTGCGAGGCGTCCTGCCAAACTTTTTTTTTTTTTTAATAGAGAAGAGTTATTTTTCGGTCTGATTTTTCAGTTTCTTGGAAAGTGTGGGTATTTACCATCCCCACCGGCCCCTCAAAATTATTGTTGGTTGTTTTGTGTTTTTCCCATCCTACATCTCAAGCTGCTGATACCTCCATCTCACTCTGTCAAAACCCCAACTTTGGGCGACCCTGGGGTTGGAAATTCCGCGGACTCTCGACGACACATCCCTCTTTCCCTCTCACGCTTCTTATTTTAGTCACAAGATTCCCCCCACTCCAGCTGCAGTGAAAGCCGGAAATTTTCATTTAACTTCCCCCCTCTCTTCCTCGCCCCCCACTTGGAGCGGAGAGTGGGGAGCTGGGCGGCTCAGAGCACAGCCGGATCCCGGCCGCCTCCTCTTTCTCCGGAAGGCTTTAATTTGCACACTTGCTCGCCACTGCGCCGCGAGCCCCCAACCCCGGCGCCCGGTGGGTTTTGGCAGAGTTGGCCTCCTGGGCCTCCGCCCCCGCCCCTGCTCCTGCCTCCCCAGCTCCGGCCCCGAGCCCCGGCCGGAGCCCGGGGCCCCAGTCCGCCCCCAACGAGCGGCGCGGGCGGCTCCCTGTGCGTCCCTCCGCCCTCCGCCGCTGTGCCCACCCCCTAGCCAGAGAGAGTGCTGGTGACTCCTTCCTCCGAGCGGGGTTACCTGCTCTGCGCCGCGGTGGACACGTGCGGAGGTCGGACTGACACACGCAGCCCCTAGGGAGGCCAGAAGCGGCCGGGTCCCTCAGGTGAGGATCTGTGCGTTCGAGTGGGTGGGCTGCGGAGTTGGGGGGGCGGCTCCCGGGGGAGATTTGGGGGTTTGGCTAGGGTTGGAAGCCAGAGTGTGTGTGGGGGTGACTGTTGGGGTGGGGGGGTATGTCCTGGGAATCCACTTTGGTTAACCCCTTAAGAACCGAAGCGAGGTCGTTACAGGGGCCAGTTTGGGGGAGCTAAAGGAGTCTCTCCTAATCTGGCCAGAGGATATCTCACTCTAGGGACATCCCCAACACTGAAATCCTGTGCCTGCGCCCACATAGCCGTGCGCCAAAACACCCACACAAACACTCCTCATCCAGTTTCTTCCAATGGAACTTAAACTTCACTCGGACACACAATCATCCACATTTAGGACTGAAAATGCACAGTCTGCGGGAGAATGTTTCCGTGCCCCATATTGGTTTCCCCACGAGAGCTCGCTCTCCCACTCGCTGAGGTGTAGGTGTGGGCTCCACTTCCCACCGCGAGATAAATGTTAAAGCAGGCTTCCTGTCGGCAACCTTTGCGGGCGTGTTAGGTACACTTGCGGGCTGCCAGTGCCCAGGCTCGGAGCCCTGCAAGGACTCTCACGTTTGCTTTAGTTTCCCAGCTTACTTTTATACTTTCAAATATAAGAGTTGAAACACAAGCCCCGCGGGGGGAAACTGCGGCCCCGTGGTGGGGCAACCCGGGCCCCGCAGCGCGCCGGGCTGGGTGCACGTGGGTCCGTCTGCGTGTGCGCACACGCGGGAGCCGCGGTCCCAGTTGCGGCCTCTGGTCACTGCGCTGGTGGCGACCCTTGCGGTGCTTGGCAGGCTTCGAGAGAGGCACATGAAGGATTTCATTGAGTGTGAAGACAGAGAGCAGAGACAGAAAGCAGAAGGAGGCGGCTGCAGCCTTTGTAGTCACAGAGGAATGCGGAAATGTTGAAGCACTATGTCAAACTTTTTGAAATGGGGTCAAGTCACATTCAGCCAGCGTGGGAAAGCAACAACAACAACAAAAAAAGTGGAGGAGAGGGGGGGAAAAGGCACTGCTGATCCCGTTTCTCTCCGCCGGAGCCGGCTGTCGGGGAGCGAGGGTGGGAAGAGCCGGGGCGGGTGGTGCGGGGCCGGGCGGGGGCAGCGGGCGCAGTTCCCTGCGGGGGTGGGACGTCCGCGACGCTTCCTTCGCTGCCTAGCCTCCGCTCAGGGGCGGGGAGAGGGGGACGCGGGAGGGCGGGCGGCGCTGCTGGCGGCTCCTCCGCTACCTGTGTGGCCCTCGGCCTAGCTCAGACCCCGGGGCAGGCCCTGGGGGCTCGTTCCTTTGCTCCCCCAGGATTCGCTTTCCCTCTTTCAGGAGTTTTGAATGGAGTTATTGTGAGGGGTTCCATTCTTGCTGTGGTTCCTTCTGCCCGCACACCGTGGGGGCGCGCCATTTGTTTAATTTATGGAAAGAGGCGAGCTGGTCAGCGGTGCGGGGCAGGTAATTCCGAGGTGCCCCGGGAATTCCGGACACGCTGCCGGCCTGGCGAACATCCCGCCGAGCCCGGCGTGCCCGTGGGTTGGAGGTTCCGTGGGTACAGGATTGCAAATGAATGGAAAGGGAAGGTGACCCCCTCCCCCCGCACTTTGTTGTGCCGAGGGCTTCGGGGGACTGCTAGCTGCAGAAGGCACCAGGCCTTAAGCCGAAAGGGGAATGGAAACCTAAGTCTGCTACCTACATCGTATCTTGGTTTAGGGAAAGATTCGCGAGTCCCGGCTTCGAGAGCACAGCCTCTTCTCTCTCTCACCCCTGGAGTCTCAGTATTCACTCCCCTCCACCCCACCCATTGTATTGGGAAGATTGAGTTTTACTCAGGTTGCAATCGGTTGCAAATTTCTGGGCAAGTCACGGTTGTTATGGTCCTCCTGACATTATTCTTTAAAGAGATAAGTTAAAATGTGGCAAACACCCTTTCTCCCACCCATCCTGTCCTGTAAGTGACTCCCCCACCTAGGGCCCCAACGTTCACCCACCCCCAAGTGGCGGGAACCCCAGTTATCCCTGACCTGATGCGTTTCCACCAGGGAGGTCCTCCGAGTCGGAAGAAGAATGCCGTTTCCAACCCAGACTGCTTTACCCCCCAAAAGACCATTTGTGATCCAAGTCGTTTTTAAATGTCTCCTCATAGAAAAACTGAAAGTAGAAAGAAAGGAAGCAATTTCCGAGCAGATGTCTGACCACCCCTTCTCACACACTCCCAAGCATCGGGTTACAGGGTCCTGGGAGCCCCCACTCACACTCAGCGAACCCACACGGGTGGACTCACAGTCCCTCCACAGCAGCTTGTGGGCGACCCCTGAACGACCCACAGCACCCGGGGAGCCCCTCTCCCTGTGCGTCAATGGTCGGGGGAACACGGAGGGTAGCAAGGAAACAATGATATAGGGATAAATATTAAGCTGTGACATTGACGTGCCCGGCCCCTCCCCTCCCCCGCGCTCCCGGCACACTCTGGGCTGCTCGGCACGCCCCCTCCCGTTTCACTGCGTCCCGCGCGGCGCGCTCATCCCCGAGGGGCCCCCTGCAACCTCTCCGCGCGAAGACTGCTCCAGCCCTACAGGGAAAGAAAAGTAACTTCGCTTTTCTTGGAGGAACCAGGAAGGATTAATCTGCCTGGGAGAAGGCTGGAGCGCGCACAGGGTAGCGTCTGAGGATTCAAGAAGGAGGAGGAGGGGAGTCTGCAGGAACCCCAAGGAAGGCGCCTGGGATGTCTGATTGCATTTTCTTCTTGTTCCCCCATCTCCTCTTTTAGGTGGAATGATTGTGAACTAAGACGCGCTCTGGCAGAGAATATGTAATCGTCTCGGTGTCTGTGCAGAGGACTGCTCTTCGGGGAGGGAAGAGGAGGGATCGGCTCGCTCCACTGCGACTCGGCAGGCGGAGTTTCGCGGCAGCACCAGGGTTGCGCCCGCCCGCGGGGAGGTCGCTCCTTCCAGCCCCAGCGTCCACAGGAGCCCGAACGCCTAAGCGCGGTAGTCCCAGCGGTGAGGGAGAGCTAGACCCATCCACAGGGCGCGAGGGAGCGGGCCGGGCAATCCCGGAGGTAGTGAGTGGCGGCTGCGAAGAAGCGAAGCGCTTCTCCAGCCCACACCAGCAGGGCAGCTCTGCGCCAGGAAGCGTTCGGGCACGATGGAGAAGGACGGCCTGAGCCGCGCGGACCAGCAGTACGAGTGCGTGGCGGAGATCGGGGAGGGCGCCTATGGGAAGGTGTTCAAGGCCCGCGACCTTAAGAACGGAGGCCGTTTCGTGGCGCTGAAGCGCGTGCGGGTGCAGACCGGCGAGGAGGGCATGCCGCTTTCCACCATCCGCGAGGTGGCGGTGCTGAGGCACCTGGAGACCTTCGAGCACCCCAACGTGGTCAGGTGAGCAAGAGAGCGGTGCCGGCGGCGTCGGGGGCCAAGCGCCTAGGAAGGGCCGGGCCGGGGGGCACCCACCGGCACAGGAAAGTGCTGGGGAGGCGGGCAGCTGGGGAGTCACGGCAGGATCCGTTGACCTTACAGAGTGGGAGCGAGTTTTGTGGACAGCCGAGAGCCAGAGCCGGTGACCTTGCCAGACAGCAAGCAGAAAGACAAATTAGAAAATGTGACCTGTGCAGGCTTCCCTCCCTGCGGGCCCTGAAAGGGGATCCGGGAAATTGGGTGCCTTTTAGGCACAAAACAAACCAACTTAAGACACGATCTGCCAGCCACCCCCACCCAGACAATAGTTCTCTGGCTATTGGGGGATTTTTGAGAGACTAAGGGTAAGTGACAGGTAGCAGGATGCAGTCAGTGATAATTAGAAGAGAACTTTACTGGTAGAGCCTAGTATGAATAAGATTAAAACAATGTAGAAATTTAGTATTTTTGCCAGTCACACCCACAGTTTCTCTTTATTCAAGTTGCATAATGATAAGCAGGATCCCTGATGGTCTAAGGACTAAAGTACTGATGCCCATTTTCCAACTGCCGTTTAAAATGTTTATTCCAAAAACGTTGCCTGTCTGTCTGTATTGTTTCATGTCTCTGGGCCAGCAGTCTTTGGACCACTCCAAAGGGGTAGAAATGAGTTCAAGACATGGAATCTTTAAATCCTAAATTCTAAATTCTGTCTTTGCCTTTTTTGGGGGGTTGTGCAAGTGGATGGGGAGACAGCAGTTCTTAAAGCTTCTCCTGGGTGGTAACCAGTGGTAAAGTGTGTGTGACTTAGGATAATGGTGTTTCCTTAGCGATCCTGGAATTTCCCCATTGTGTGGTTGACACTGTGTGGTGTGTTCTCCTTTTATTTTCTAAACAGATGCATAGTTTTAAGTCAGAAAGGAATGCACAGAAACTTCTACAGATTAGGGTGTGATTTTTACCTTTCTCAACTCTTAGGATAAGGTGTCGGAAATGGTCTTGGGGTCTTGTTGCTGTCTTCTCGTCTGTCTAGGGATTCTGTTCAACAAATAGATGCCTACTATGTGCCCTGTGGATGAAAATATGTAAATAAGCACAGCTAAATATTTTTGTAACAAGTCAAACAATTTAACATTAGTCATCAAAGTAGAGAGACCCAAGACTGACCTTTGAAAATACCAAGCCCTCTATCAACTCAGGGAGCCTCAATGTCTACAGAATCTTCCGAGGAGGTTTTAACTTGTCTCCTCATATTCCAGGCTGGGTGATTTGTGTGGTGCTTTGTTCCCTACACAGACTCAGGCTAGAAGGCAGCAAAGAATCATAAATACATAAGATGGTAAATGGCTATAAAGATAAGGACCCCCATTATATAACTCCTCTTGAACCACTAAAACAAAGTGGGGTAAAATAGGAGCCTGGTCGAACAGTGTTTTAGGAAGGTGGGATCACATATAAGAGCAACAGATTACCTTTTGTGTGTGTTTTCTTCATTGAAAAATAACAAAAACCCTTTTGGGTCATCTTCGAGATACTGGAGGAAAAGGAGAGGGTACATTTTTGTCCCTTGCAACTTAGTTATCATCCCAGAGGAATCACCTAGGTGGTTTCGGAAGGATGAATTCCCATCACTAGAGTTTTAGGACCAAAATTCTTGTTTTATTTTGTCTGTCACCTGTGGCAAGTATCCTGTCAAGGATGATCATCGTGTATATGAATCAGATGCTGTCATTCCAATGTGGCAGTGTTGTAGAGGCACCCCTGTTTCCACTCTAATTATTCAAGACACAGACTATTCTTCTAATGAAGGACGGTGGTTGTCTTTGTGTTCTGTTAGTCGATTTTGGCTAATCTCTTTTATTCCCTTGATCTATCCTCCTGAGACTGGTGTGTCTTTAGAGATTTGTAGCCGACCTATGACTTGGATGCTGTACTGAGAACTTTCAGGAAGTTGTACTTATGAATTGAAGACACGGGTCATTGTCTAAAATTATCTTTACATGTTAAGTGTTGATGATGACACCTCTTACAGGCTCTTTAGAGAAACTGAGACAGTGTATATGAGAGCACTTTGTCAGTTTAAAAGTGTTTCAAATGTCCAGGTACTATTTGTGTTCAGGCAGATTAGTGGGGCCCTTGCCTCAGAGCAGATTCCCAGCAAAGCATCAGTTCGCCTGGCCTCTGATAGAACAAACCATACTCAGAGCCAGACATGATAGACTCTGGAACCAAGAAGGTACTTGAATATAATGAGCCTGTAACTTGTCAGAAAAGCTCATCAGTCATATTAGTGAAGTTCAGTGACACTGGAGAAAATTGTTAAGGATGACCTCACAAGCTGCAGATCCCCCAGTTTGTTTCCTCCTCGTTTTTTCTCCTCCGCCTCTGCATTGGGGCAGTCGTTGGCCCCCACGACTTGCTTGGCTAGACTAGGAATTCTGGACTTCAGAGGTTGCTGATATTTGCTCAGGCAGGGTCAGGAAATCAAAGACGGGTGACAACAATACTTTTCTCTCCAAGGGAGAGTTGCCAAAGTTGAGCCCCCAAACTGGTAATGTTGTTGCCTCACAGGATTATTGCCTGGTTCTTTAGAGGTGTCTTAAAGGGCAGATGGCTTTAAAGTGCCTTCAAGGCATAAGCAATTGATCATAATTGTAGGCCCTTCCCACAGATAGTTAAGACTCTAAGTTTGAAGGAGCATAGTAAACATACTAGGATTTTTTCAAATTTTACGCTTTCATTTTGATGGATTTGCAAGACAAGCTGACTTGGTATTGCTGGCACATGTGCAGGGATTGTGACTTGAAATTCTTACTGACCTGGACCCAATGTATCTGCCCCAGGCTTGGTCAGTGTCCAGGATGTAAATTTACTCTTTACAGCTGGTAATCCCAAATCCATCAGACTTCCGTATGAACCTGTATTAGAGCGGATGCACTCTACCAATGAATTCTGTTTTACATTCTGAACTAAATATATATAGGCAGGTAAAATAATGTTTTGTCAGCAGTCTGTTCATTCACCAAATATTTATTGAGGGCTTACTGTGTGCCAGACGCTGCTGGGAGCTGGGGGTGCAGAAGCGAACACGTCAAGAGAAGCCTGCATTTCTAGGACTTACCTTGTAATGAGATGAGAAGTTCTCTTTTTTTCTTTTTAAAAATTCACTTATCTTTATTTCCATGGTCTCGCTTGCTATATTTAACCTAACCAGTTTTCTAGAGCAACTAATATTTGTAATAATTTGGTTACCAGGAGTTTGCTGGTTGAACAGGTAAGATAACCAAAACATAATCAGAATCAAATGCTTTTTGAAGATTAAATTTCACCTTAGGGACATACAAATATATCTACATAAGAATACATTGACCCATAAGTGACATATATAGTGAACATTTGAGCTCTATTTATTCGTCGAAGATTTAGGAAGATCCTACTGTTTGAACACCAAGGGGCTCAGTGCTAGGAAAAGTACTGAGGTAAATCACACTGGCCCCTCTCCTTGAGTAATCCACACCCCCACCCCACTCTTTGAAGGAACCCCAATATTGTGACAGTATTGTGTCATCTCAAAGATCCTGGTAAGTGCTACCAGGGTTGTCCCAAGGGACCAGATTTGTTAGGGTAGCAGTAAAAGTAATTCACAATCAATTCACTGGTTCCAGAAACTTAAACTCAGGGCATGTCAGTGAGTAAACTTATGACATCTAAATATGTTCAGCTATTTTTATTAGCATATTTAATTACTGCTTAAAAAAAACAACAGAGGAAGCTCTTCTGCATGTGGGTCTCTGACTCTCATGTGTGGGGTTCCCATACATACATATGTGTTAAATTTGGTTATTTTCTCTTGCTAAAAATAAATAAATAGTAAAGCCAACAGGAAAATCCATGCAGCTCAATGTTCAAAACTCTCCTGTTTAAGAAGAGTTTTCTGACTTTCCCTTTTAAGACATCTCAGGGATATATATCATGAAACAAGAATTAAAAATGTGATGTTCTCTCGAAAAACCTAATCATTAACAGGATAGAAGAAACATGGCAGGTTATTTGATGCAGCATAAAACCCAGGCGTCTGGGGATCCTTCTGAATAAAAGTGTTATTTTGTGAGTGAATAACAGATTTTTTAGGGCTTGTTTCAGTGAAAGGGAAAGCAGGAGTTTAATTCTCTTTGTTACGTTTCAGTATACTGAAAGTATGTTTGGTCCCTCATTCTCTAAGAGTTCCTTGAAAAGTTTCCAGTTTATCAAAGCTATTTGGTAAATAAACATTTTCACAATGATGTTCTGCCAATGCCTTGTTTCTGCAGAAGAACTTGGTAATACCAGATTGTTGACATCGCACTTGTATTCTTTTTACACAACTGTTATCACCATGCAATTACTGGAATATCTCTATCAAGACGAAAATGGTGTAATGGTGTAATGGTACTTGTATAAACTTGAACATCTAGTGGTGTATTTTCCTATGTTTAAGGTGTGGGTAAATGAATATCTATGAAAAAAAACAGACACCTTGTTAAAAGTAAGTTGTCTTTAAAATACATGCCTCACTATTAATGATTCCTTAGGAATGTTTTTTTAAGAATGAGACATCCGGTACATGTACTATGTCATTGCAAACTCATGGATATTAGGGTTGGAAGACACTCTGGAAGTCTTTCAGCCCTTTTATGTTGTGAAGAACTAAAGCCCAGAGGTGAAGCAACTTGCCTGTCATACCATTTCAAAGTTGTTGATTTGTTCTAAAAGCCGAGTAGCAATTTTAAAAAAATTCTTAATTGTGTGATGGAAGAAGTTAAATCAAGTGACTGCGTTTCTAGTTTGGAAAAACAATGAACTACATGTAGACAAAGGTGATGATTTGCCAGGAATAAATGACATACCAATTCAGGAAATTCCTGAATTCTGCAGTAGGCCCTCCTGAAGGATATCTGCAAAAAGTGTAATGACTATCCATTACATTCTGCTTGTAAAGCATTTGG